AGCGAAAGACAACAAGTACGATTTCGGAACAACTCATCCTGACTCGTCTGTTCGACAGCAGTGAATGCCTTCTCGGAGCGTGAGAGCGCAATCAAGTCGCCTTCAATATCATGAGCTATGATGGCCTAATGCCCTGCAGTAAACCCCGAGCCCGAAGCCCTTCAAAGACCTCCACCGACGGTCAGGTGCGTTTTCGTGACCTGGGAAAATGCACCTGTAATCGCAAAAGGAACAGCAGATGAAGCCAACCAAAAAGTGCCAACCGATGCGCCACTGCGCACAGATCATGCAACCGAACCTGCGATCACAGGTCTTGATGAGAGACGTCATGGAGGGGCATGAATCAACGAATGCCTTACACTTATGCTTTCAAACTTTCAGGCCCAGAACAGCCTGAGGGCTCCTTATTCCGAACCCGGTCGGCTCAGGCTTGCGGCTACCTGTTGGGCAATGCCGATCTCCAGGACATCGGGGAACCTGCAGAAGCCCGAGTTTGCTCTCCCGAGAAGCTCGAATGTAAGCATTGCCGAGGCTGACGCAGTTGGGTGCCGTGCTGCTGTATCTTTATGAATGGAGTTGTGCCTCGACTCATAGAAACAATTAGTTAGTTGGTTTAAGCTGGAGCATGCCTGCTTTGCAAAAAGACTACAAGAAAGAAGCCCCCAAGTCTTTCGTACCCTTCACAAAGAGCGGCACAAAGCGGCGCTGTGCCCACCCGGCAGGAGCTGCGCGTGCCAGCTGAGCGCATACAGGCATGATTGCAATCGGTGAGTGATTAGAGTAGCGATGTCTACTGCAGTAGAAACGCCAACCTTAGCAAGAACAGCGAACAGCAATACACATCAACAGAACGATGCTTCAGTCTTGAAAGTTATAGTGGGCAACGTGCCAGCAGCTGCTAGAAAAAATCCGAGTTTCGAGTTAGCTGCTAACAGCAGCCTCTGCCTGAGTCTGCAGGGAGGCTTGTTTTGGCATGTCGATGCGAGACTAGATGGCCAGCACATTTGTTCTGGCTAGCTGTACTTCAGCATTGCTTAGTGAACAGCCTTTAGTACAGAGGTGCGTCCGTCCTGAAGTCGTCGTAACGTGATGCTGGAAGTGTACCGCTCAACCTTTGGCTGTCCTTGACACCGCAACCTCAATCTTGTGTTGATTGGTCTTCGGCTGAAGTCTAAATCTTCAAGCACGCCTGGACGGTTGCCCTGGGCTGGCTCAACGGATGATGCCGGAGGGGGTTCGGGATGAGCCTCGACCTGCCCGAAACCATGACAGCTTCAAGCAGAAAAGACGACGACCTAAAGATGCCAATGCCGCTGAAGCACTGCAGAGCCATGAGCAGAGACCGGACGGGGGATTCCCGTAATTTCGCAGTCCTGTAGCGAAAGAGTTTGTCAACCTGGACTTGTGTTTCAAACGACGACGCGGTATGGGCAGCCACGATTGCCTCCACAAGCATGGATGCTCTGAAAGCCACCACCCGGGGAGCATCCGGAGCCCAGGGTCGTGCGCTCCACCACGTTTTGTGAACTTTTGAAATCACCCAAACGATTTGACGCTTCGCTCAGCTGTCTCCTGCAACATGACAAGCGCAGTTTCCATGACGTGAAGAACCAACTGCTGGCTTCCGTAAATTCGCGAGGCCATCACTGCTGCCAGGGGCGGTCATAAGCCGCTCTGCCCGGATGAGGCGTCGATCTTGTCCGCGTCGTTCGTTCGGGTTTGTTCTGGTACTAGTAGAGCATTGGAATGCTGGCAGCTGTGATGAGAACTTGGGTTGAGATGAAGGGATCTGCTCGTGGAGCAGAGTATGTGGGACCGAAGGCTTTCTATAACTCAGTGTTTCAGCTGTTGACAGGGCTTTTGGCGTTTTCCAACCTGCCCAGGCTTCTACCTTGTCTCAGAGACATGGGTCAAGATTACCAATTTTTGAGTTGCCTCAGCTTTGCCCCGGTTTACGATTTGGGGTTTCAGGTTTTGGCTTGTAGGAGAGGTTAAAATACATCGTAGAAGTCAGTTTCGGTACTTTAGACCCGTTGCAGATGTCTTATCTGGGCTGGTCCAGGTTGGCATGAGATCTTCTCGTTCGATGCTTCGAGTCTCAAGCGCCAAACTGTTTGTGCCTGCAAAGTAGATGCTAAACATACTATTTAATCTATTTCACAACGACAGAGTAGCTTGCATGGCACATGCTCTAGCATAGCAATCGGCACAGTGCACGATGTACAACAACAGGTAGTATAAGTATGCTTCCAGCATACAGCAACGCATATCTAGAGTGCTGGTTTATAACAGACATAATTGCCATTACTACATACGCTGTGATAGTTATAGAACTGTGTGTGTATATATATATATATATATATATGTGTGTGTGTGTGTGCACGCGCATAAACAACTACATATAACATACATATACACGCACAGGTACAGATACCGATACAGAATACGTATGTGCAGAGACCGATACATACAGACATACATTTGTGTATGTGTGTATGTGTATATGTGTGTGTATGTGTCTATATATATATATATATGTGCACAGACGTATGCATACATGGTTGTGCGCTGTGCGTTCT